CAAGCCTCTTGGTTAGTTTTGACAGAAGAACTCTGCATTTATGAGTAAATTTCCTTTTGGCTGGTTGCTTTCCTACAGCGGATCCTGACTGCTGGTCGTGTTTAACCATTTATGTGTCAGGAGAAAGATGAAGAATTAAGATTTAACTTATGTTTGACTGTAACCCTAACGTTATTCAAAGCCTAAATGCTCGCTTTCATAAATCATTAAAATTGNAAGCAGGATTCTCCACCATGAACATAATCAAAACTAAAACTCAAAACTAAAGATCCAACTAAAGAATAATGACCTTGATTTGTGCTTGAGAATGGCTTTGTCGCCAAACAAACCCAGGTTTAAAAACCTTGCAGGGCAGCCTAGAGCCCACTTCTCACATTAAGCCATAAAAAAATAAACAAAAAAAAATAATAATATCAAATGGTAATTTCAGGTGTTTTATAAAATATTTGAATCAGGAAAACACTTATATTTTTTTAACTTCAAATGTCAATGTATAACATGGATGCATAAAAACCTAATTTTATTTCAGTGTCAAATTATGTTTAAAGTAACAGATTATAATTGTTGTTATAGTTGTTGATTTTCTTTATTCGGACCTCGCTTTTAATTGGTCACCCCTGCACTAAAGCATATTGCAACTCAACCAATCACTAACACACATATTGGCTAAATAGTCACTTCACATAAGGTATGATCTTTCTTTGCAGTTCCATGAGGCCGAACATACATGTAAAACACCTTTGGAAAAAAATAAAAAATAAATTATACCATTAAAATGTTACACAGGGTTCTTACACCTTTTCCAAAGTCAAAATCAAGCACTTTTCAAGCACTTTCAAGATCCATTTTAAAACTTTTTCCAGCACCTTACACCACCGTAAATTACATACCAATACATAGTCAAAATTATTATTTAGTGATTTTATCGCATTAAAAGAGATGCTATAAACAACCAAAATTGTGTTAGCCGAAGGATCAGATATTGAAGCAAAACACAAGTTTTAATTTTTCAAAATGCATCAGAGTCTAAGTAGATGTTGCTTGATATCTAACCTGCCTGAGACAAGGCACGTTTCTCAATATGCGTTCTTGAGCGTTCTCGTGTGCTCGTGTACTTGTGACACGTCATCAGCCTCAGCCCGAGTACCATTCCAATTCTCGAGAACGCTAGATCGAGAACGCACCAAATCCCCGGATGTTGTTCTCGCCCC